CAAGAAAAAGCCAAAATATATTAGTTTGTAAATCCTGAGTTTTATAAAAAATACAGCAAAAGTAGGTCTTATAAATGCGTTCTTGAATATTTTTATTTAATTAAGCTTTGACAATTTGTGTGCTAATGCATTGAGGGAAATTTAGTTGAAAAATCTCCAGTGGCAAGGATAGCAATAACTGTTGTAATGTTTGGGCATGCTCTAAATCTATATGTTTGTCAGATTTCTTCACAGTTTATATCAGAACACAAATTAACTAGAAAATTAATTAGATTCCCTTCATAACTTTAATCCTAATTGCACTGCAAGTGTTATAGATATTGAAATGCGTGTAGTTTAAAAGGTTTCAAAGCGTAATCATTTTTTTTCAAATCCCCTTCAAATTCTCCTCTGGTACCACTTCATGTTATTTCCTTCGGTTTGCAAATGCACAGGTCATCTAGATAAACACTTCCTGTAAATGTACTGCAAATGCAAGATTAAAGGCTCATTGTTAAGGCTCCCTTTTCATTTTTACCAGTTTGTAGAATTCCATTTGATACATTCTGTAACTAGTTACATGTCAAAATACAAAGACGTTTCAAGGGCTTCCAGAAATGTGGCGTTATATTAAAATAGATTGTTGGTTGTTGAGAATTTTGATGAAAATACATCAGATACAGCAAGTTTATCTGTAGAGAAATTTTATGCACCAAAATCTAGAAAAAAAACTAGTATTTTGATTAACAAACAAATGGCACAAAAATGCACCTGTGTACTACTAAATATATATACGTAATGTTAATATATTTGCACACCATTCTGGTTCATCTAAATGTTTTTTCCTGAAATCAGACAAAAAAATAAAACAAAAAGAAAACCTATTTTTCCCAGACTAATCAAACCACATTATTTAATATATACTTGGACTGGGCATCCCTTAATAAGGGTTTACAGAATTAGGCCCAGAGAGCTGTGGGGGATTTGGGTATTGACATCGTAAATTCACTGGACCCTCTCGATTTATTTTTTTTCCCAGCTGGACCTATATTATTTCTTACCATTAGTGACAATAAAGTGTTAAAGAGACCCTACATGCACAAAAATGATGCACTTTTTTATAGTAGTTATGGTGATAGAATGCTAGTGGTGCAATCCCTTACTTTTTTGTCAAAACCATTTTCAGAGTTTGCAAGAGACAAAACCAGACACCACTTACAATTCCCTGGCCCTTAACCTACTCTATGGCTTGCTACATCATACTGATTGAGGCACTTTGAGGAAAAAAATTAGTTACCCGACACCTTGTTTTTCCTCCAAAACAGCTTAAAAAGATTTAATAAAAACTGTAAGAGTAGTGTGTCCATTGCCTCAAGCTCTATAACCACCACAAACGTTAGCCGTTATGAAGCTTGTCATTTTCCTATATGGTAGTGCTTTTTCGTGGCTGAAACTTCAAACTATACATATGCAATTTCCTTACAAAGTATGATTTACTTCGCACATTTCACCCACTGGGGAATGTGACTATGTGGATTATGTTTCTGCATTGTACAGATCAATTTTTTTCCTTCATTTTAGCTACTAATATTTCTATTCAATTAAACAATGTTTGTTTGTTTTTAGGTTAATGAGGCATACTAAAAGACAAAAAAATAAAATGATAATTTTACCCAGCAGGCTTTTTTCCTGGTCTTTATTAGGTAGACTTATTCGGTGACGATGAATAGGGTCAAAAGAATAAATGGCAAGCTTGTTCAGGAGATAATTCACACAGAACAAGTTTGCTGATCCACACTCATAGGTAATCCCCAAAAATACATCAGGAAGAAATCATATAAAAAAAATAATGCACCTTTATTGAAGTCAAAAGAAAATACATATGGCAAGATACTAGAACAGCAGTCCAGTCCTCATGTATGCTGTATTGGTCCAAGCAAAAAAGCCAACCCTAAAGGAAGATTTGAGAAGCCCTGGATGCGTTTCGCACCACTCCGGATGTTCTCTCAACATTCGGTCAAGCTTATTCAGGAGTCTTGTAATTACAACACCTTTCAAGGCTTTAGTCAAAATATTTTCCTACTGGAGGATGTTCAAAATAAGTTACAGATTTACCAACAGTTTCAGAATTCCTTTTCCCTCAATCTTGGTATGAGGTTTCACGTCTGAGAAATGCAAACCGTTCCAAAAAAATCAAAAGATTTCTACCTATACAAGATGACTTCTGCTCTAGATCCTTGTTGGTTGAAGCAGTGAAGCTGTGTATAAAACAAAGTCCCCTGCTGCTTTCATACCACAACATGTTAGAATACTTTTTTAACCCCTTAAGGACCAAACTTCTGGAATAAAAGGGAATCATGCCATGTCACACATGTCATGTGTCCTTAAGTAGTTAAAAAGCACACTTGCCTAGCCAGCTGACTGCCATCAAGCACATTTTCTTTAAAAAAAAAAAAAAGTGACTTTACAATATGTGTCATCCTAAATTGTGTGGCTATTATCCAACCACTGCACAATTACACTGAATAAAACAAACAAACCACTGAATGCAATAAATTTACTCAAATGAAAAGTTCACAAGAAATCCTCTTTAGCCTGTAGAAGACAAATGTAATGTTTGTATATAGAGATATTTTGCTGTTGAGTAATTGCATACGTTTTTCTAACTGCTGAGCTCCAAGTATTTTTTTTTTTTTTTTTAGTTTCTTTCTGTTGTATGGAGAAAAACAAAATCCCAATGGATCAACCCCAGAAAAGGTTTTTGTTTTTTTTAATTTAAAAAAAAAAAAAAAATACAAATACACATTTTCCATCGGTTCTTATAGTAAGCATGTTTTATTAGAACATCACATAAAAGAGAAGGTTACAAGTTAAACTGTTTTTTTTTTTTTTAAATAAATGTACTGCAGTGAGCAACCACACCAAGTGCTCAATGATATATTGTTCGCTTAATGGAGCTACAGATAATGGAAACTTCTGTACATGCATCCTAGATTTTCCTAATTTCCTGATAAATCATTCTATATTTCTCTTTTATTCTGATAGGCTTTTATTATTTATTTAAATTCCCTAGAGGAAGAGGTAGGTACTACGAGTCATCTGCTCCTTGCTTTTTCTTTTGGAATTTTCTGAACTGGGACTGTATTGCCACCGCTGCCCGTTCTGTTTCTGGAGCCTCCATATCTATATCAAAATCTTCTTGGACTTTTTTCTGGTCATCTGTTGGGTGGAAAGAACAATACATGAATAAACATCTACATATTGTCTACTTCAATGTACACAAACTAGAAATCTAGAAACATAACTAAACCAATATACATATATTACACAAAGTAATAAGATAATAAGGAGATAAGGTCCATATCTAATTTGGATCTTCGGAAGAGGTGGCAGACCTCAATGTTTGAAGGGGCAACACAGGATATGAAACCCTCAGCCTTAAGACTGCTGTAGTGGGTATGATGTAAGTAGCACATGACCTGGTTTACTGGGAATGGGATACCCACTTACCCAGGTCCCTTCTGGAATTCTAGACCAAGAGTGCTGAAGCCTGAAGTCTATCCAGTTGCCGTTCACTAGCTGACAGCATCAGCTGACTGCCGTCAATCAACTAATATAAAAATAATAAATAACCAACGACTCACTGTGCATGAAAACATGAGCAGAATAGACATTAGCCTCAACGACCGTTAAAGGGGTTAAACTATGTGTAGCATTTCATACTGTAACTGTGTAACACACACTTCAGGAACCATGACCACTTTAAATAGATTAACCGTTTCTGCACTACATTTTTTTTTTAATTTAATGCCCAGTTTGACCAATACCATAAAGGGGAAAAAAAAGAATATAAAACATACACCACACCATAAATTTAGTCCAGGAAGGCTTTGCATGTTGGCAATTTGAAGATTCAGTACTAAGATTATTTGCCCACATACTGGTAGGGAAGGGGCATCAATAAGGTTTGTTCATGCAAAACATCATGGTTTCAGGTGGAAATAAATAATAAAAAAATACATGAATATAAAAAAATATAAAACAAAGCAGACTATTTAGACAAAACCTTTGCTGTCCTTAAGAGGCGTTCCTAAAGGCCGGCATAGAACGTTCGGATGTTGTTCAGTCCTCCGATCCTACTTTGGAATCAGGAGATTACATAGTTACAAAGCTGAAAAGAGACCTGTGTCCATCAAGTTCAGCCTTCCTCACATAGGTTTTTTTGATGTCTCCGTGGATCAAGCAGCTATTACCGCACTAATTATAAATTATAACCCTGTATGTTATGTTTTTGCAAGTATTTATCCAATTGCAGTTTAAACATCTGTATGGACTCTGACAAAACCACCTCTTCAGGAAGAGAATTACATATCCTTATTGCTCTTACTGTAAAAATAAAATAAAAAATAAAAAACCTTTGCCTTAGATGAAATCTCCTTTTTTTCCAGCCTTGTGTCCTATGTATAGCCCTGTTTATGAATAGATTTCGAGATAATGGTTTGTACTGGCTGGAATATATTTGTATGATGTTATCATATCCCCTTTGAGGTGCAGTTTTTCCAAACCAAAGAGATTAAACATTTTTTAACCTTTCTTCGTAACTAAAATGCACCATTTATTTTATCAAATATGTAGCTCGTCACTTTCTAGTGCCATGATATCCTTCTTTAGAACTTGTGCACAAAATTGCACAGCATATGCAAGGTGTGGTCTTACCAGCGATTTATAAAGAGGCGAGAATTTATGCCCCTATTTATACATGACAAAATCTTACTGGCCTTAGCAACTGCAGATTGACATTGCACATTGCTGCCTAATTTGTTGTCTATAACAATTCCCAAATCCTTCTAGTGTGTGTTTATCCCTAATTAACTACCATTTAGGGTGTAAGTTGCTTGTGCATTCTTGACCCCGATATTCAAAGACTTTGTGGCAAACCCTTCCCTTCTCAAATCTCACACACCCTTTAGAAAAATGTAGCAAACACCACACTACACTCTTTGGGGCAAGAAGACATTCCAGAAGGACTCCAGCTATTACTAACCTACCTGCCCATCTCTACCTGCCCATCTCTACCTGCCCTCTGCATAACACCATTTCAAATTCTACCATACCGGCCTGAACTTTAATTAAATCACTCTGCCTGGGACTTTGTTCGCTTGTTGGATTCTACGGGATTTCTGACCTTAGCCTGTCCTAAATACGCTTTGTTAGCTGTGCCTGAACATAGCACCCTGTTCTTATGGTGTAATGCTCTCTCCAAGAGGACATAAAGCAGAAAATCACTATACATTTTACAAGTTGAAAAGGGCATCCAATATATTTCTTATTTAATTACCATATTACTTCACCCAAAGGAAAAAAAAATAAATCACATGGTTAATGCGGTGGACAGCACTGGAAGGGTTACAAATTGCTTTATTTTTTTTTTACTCTTCAAAATTTTCACACAGTATCTATCACATATCTCTCTGCCTCTCAAGCCTCAGATCAAAGTTGGTTTGTGTGATGATAAAAACCTGCAAAACTGGTACATGAAGTACTCATATAATCAGGAGACAATGTTAAAGCAAAAAACTGATGTTTTATTGCACCAATATCAGGATTATGAAATTCCCTGTGAAAGTGGAATTCATGCATAAAAAAAAAAAAAAAAAGAAACCACAAACAAAAGTATAACTGTTACATGGTTCCTGCATTTCTGTTAAAGTGGCTAGACCAAACATCTAAAATTATGCCATTTTGATTAAACTGGGTTGCCTACTTTTAAAAAATCCCGGGGGAAATGTTATTACCCAGGTTGCCATACTCTCTTGAAGGCGACATAGGCCCAGAAAATCACTTTGTCAAATTTCCAACTTTGAAATGGACGTCCAATATATTTGTCCCCGTGACCTCCCCCCTCCCACAAAAAATAGGGATACTGGTAAGTGGGGGTATCCCGGCTGACACTCAAAAGCTTACAGGCCCAGAAAATCACTTCAAGTTTCAATGTGTAAAAGTAAAAAAAAATAATAAATAACGTGCAAGCAATATATTTGACCCTGTACCTTTCCAAACAGACTTGGAACCAGATCTCCCTCCCTGGCCCAAGCTAAGCCTCAGGAAGAGGGAAGAAACATTAACAACAAAAAAACTCAAAATTTTTTAACATTCCCCTTAGCGCCTTTTTAACTCCTAAAGTCCTAACCCTCACTACTGCCCAGATAAAAAGGTAGACCTAACAAACTACTACATGGCATCATCATAGATAGAGGTTGAATACACCAGACAACCTGTGTCTTCAGTTAAATATTTTCAAAATGATAATGAAACGTTTTGGTCCATTAGTGCACCTGTTCAGCGCTTCACTCCTAATCATATTTTCCTCTTTAGTTAAATTAATTGGTGCAGCTACATGTGATGTCATAATTAAAATTTCTGGGAGTCGTTCACTTGTTCAACCTCTGCTATACACATCATTAAAAGAAACACACTGGTCACCATAACAACTTGATCTAAATCAAGTTGCTATGGTACCAAGAGGCTCCCAGGTGCACTCCTACCTTAATGGGTTAAACCGTTTTTGAAAAGTTTGTCATAGACCCAGTGATGCAGTGTAGGGGTTCCTCTTGCTCGGTTGGTAATTTTACAAGGCTCACTCTGCTCCATTTTTTCCATCTAATTACTTTTATTATGTATATAGCGCCAGCAAATTCCGTAGCTCAATACAGTGGATCAAAACAATCTAAACAAGTATTTGTTTTGATGGGGCTTAGAGTGTCAGCTGATCGCACTAGCCAATCAGTAGCTCGCCATTCATAATAAAGGTAGATACAGAGTGTTTATTGTGAGTGTAACAACACTTACCACATAGTGCTTCCACATTCTAGCAGTACATATTTTAATGCCAGGGTTACATGTGAGATAGGTTTTTAGTAATGTTGGAGAAAAAAAAAAAAAATAATAATAATAATAAAAAAAATAAAATAAAAAATAAATATATATATATATTTGTGTTAGGTGCTTAAGATAGTACAGTGTGAAATACCATGAATAAGCGTAGGATGATAAAAGGAGCAAGTCGGTTGCGGTGTGCCGAAACCGACGATGAGGTAGGCCTGAGAAAGAAGAGGGCCCACCCAGGAAAAGAAATAGAAAGGAAAATAAATGTTAAAAGTGGTGTGGTGGGAGGGTCATTCAATGCTGACCTCGAACGGTAAGGAGCCAGGCAAGGGGAGTGCCTTAAGTAGGCTAGGGGTAGAAAACCAGCACCTCCCACAAATGCAGGCAAATTGCCTTAATACTTGTGTTAGGTGCTTAAGATACTACAGTGTAAAATACCATGAATAAGCGTAGGATGATAAAAGGAGCAAGTCGGTTGTGGTGTGCCGAAACCGACGATGAGGTAGGCCTGAGAAAGAAGAGGGCAAAAATTAAGTAATCCAATTTATTAACAGACCACCAATACATATACATTTATCAACCAGACATGTTTATGAAAGCATCTCTTAACTCTTGTACTGGGTTCGGTATGTACCGTGAGTAAGCGGATGACTTCCAGCGCCCCAGTGTTTTGATAACATGAGTTGGGACGTTGAAACTGGAGGCTGTGGACGCGGCTCCTATACGAAAGGAGTGTCCTGAGTAATTGTTTGCGTTGAGGCCCAGTTGTGTGAGCAAGGACCTGACGTAGGTCATGAAGGTTGTAGTGGTGAGTACTGCACCTTGTAGTTGTAATAACGGTTGCGAGGGCAGTAAGTGATGGTGCTGTATGTAGGCATCAAGAACTTTTACGGGACACCATCTGTTGTGCGTGGGGTAGTACGGAATGTTTACAGGTATGTGCTGGCTGGTTTTGGAGTGAGGTAAAGACAGGATGTAATGATCCATATGTTTTGTCAAGTGGAATAGAGGAGGAATGGAGTGGTTTGGGTCGTGGAGGTCGTAGTGAATTCTCTGGGTCGTAGAAATCCATAGAAAGCGATGTATATTGCTGTTTTGATGATAGAATTCGTATTAGTGTCAAATGGTTTCAGGTCGAGTAGGTTAGATAAAGCTTTGAAGATATGGTTATCTATGGGTAGCCTCTGGGCCAAATGTGTGGGTTCTGATTTTTGAATACCTCTGAGTATGGTCTTAATTTGGTGAGAGGCCATGAAACTGTTGTTATTTGGGTGTAAGATGAGCATGTGGTGTTGAATGCCAGTGAGATAGAGTTTGATGGTGTTATATGACAATTTGAGTTTAAGGTGGCAAAAGGAAGCAAACCCCAAAAAAGATGTCATAACAAACGGTTGTATGATGTTATGTTCCAGAAGGAATCGTTTGAATAGTGTGAAAGCCCTGTTGTATGTTTTGTTTGTATTGTGTGAAAGTGCCAACTGAGACAATGTCCTGCTATGCTGCATGATGACGTCTAGTCCAGTATGAGTTGTTGAAATGTTGGAGTGATGGTGGCTGTGGGTGCTGCTGACGGGAGTGCTTGATGAAACTCCTGAAATTTAAAGCGAGACAAACTGTCAGCAGCTGTGTTATATACACCTGGCACATGGAAACAACATAGGAAGAAATTATGACAAGCTGCCAACCAAGTGAGTTTCCTCAGAAATCTCATAATCGTAAGAGATTTGGAACGACCTTTGTTGATGATGTGACAGGTCGCCTGGTTGTCTGAGTAACAACGCACTGGCGTATTAGCCCATAAATGACCCCACGCTACGGCAGCCGCCACTATGGGGTAGATCTCAAAAAGAGCTGAGGTAGTGGAAAAACCTTCCAAATCCAGAACTGCTGAAGGCCAGCTGCCCCAAAGCCATTCGTTCCCAAAAATTGCTGCAAAACCAGTGGTAGATGCCGCATCTGACCAAATGGTAGGAGATGATTCAGTCAATTGAGGGAGGAACATACTTTTACCATTCCAAGTGGTTAAAAACCTCTTCCACATGTTTAGATCTGCCGTAGCTTGGGCATCTAAGGACAACCTGTGCGTGTCATGTAGAAAAAGTGGGAAAAGATGCAATAGTCGTGAAATAAAGGAGCGGCCTTGAGGTATGATGCGCATTGCAAAATTTAGTGACCCCAGCAGGGACTGTAGTTCTTTGCGGTTGCAAGTGCCGAGCTGTAGGTAGTTGTTTATGTAAGTGAGAATATTGTCTATCTTTTCGTAAGGTAGGCTTGCTTGCATTGTGGCAGAGTCTAACTGGATACCCAGAAAAGTGATAACCGTGTCTGGCCCTTCTGTTTTCTTTGGGGAGATGGGTACACCTAGTTGCTCAAACAGCTTAGTGGTAGCTTTGAGGCTAGTGGGAGGTGCAGTATTCTCCTCGACCAGTAGGAAATCGTCCAAGTAATGTAATACTGTAGGGCATCCGGCTATGTTCAATAGTAACCAGCATAGTGCTTCGGCAAATGTGTCGAAAATAGCTGGGCTACTTTTGGACCCAAAAGTTAACCGGGAGAAAAAATAGTAGTTCTCGGACCACTTGATGCCATGCAGGTGCCACAGTGTGGGGTGGATAGGGAGTAATTTGAAGGCGTTAGTAATGTCGGTCTTACTGAGCCAGGCTCCCACCCCTGCTTGTATGATGGCTGTAATGGCGTGATCTATGGTGGTGTATTGCAGAGAGAATTCCTCAGAGGGTATGAGGGAATTAAGACTGGGGTTGGCCGATGAGTGGGGAGCCGATAAGTCAATGATGAGTCTCTGTTTTTGGGAAGATTTCCCTGTGACAATACCAATAGGGTTGGTGCGCCATTCTGTGAATGGGGGAGTTCTAAAAGGCCCCAATACAAAGCCCTCCTCCACTTCTTGGTTTATGAGGGTGTCAACCACTGTGGGGTTGTGTTGGGCGGATTGTAGGTTTGGGCATTCCAGAGTGCCAGCTGGTATGTGTAGGATACCTGTGTGGAAGCCTTCTGTTAAACCAGAAATAAGAAAATCTACCAGGTGTCTAGATGGGTCCTGAGACATCAATGCTGTGAATACTGGCATATTAATGGACGTAAGGTAAGGCTTAGAATACATTTTATTTGGACACATGGTCTTAGCATGTGCCCTAAAACATTTTGAACAGACATGCAATAGTCTACATCCACTGTAATTACAAGACCCAACATTGAAATTATTACATATCTGGGACTTGCCCAGAAACTTGATTGGGCGTCCCAATTTGTCTTTGGATAGTTTCCCTGGATCCCCAGAGGAACTAGTTCCTTGTGTGGAGGCATGTCCGTCTGCCGTGTTGGGACAAAAATTAGTAGTATGGGCTGTGGAGGAGCAGTATGCACAAGCTGGTGTTCTTAGACCTGCAAAGTGTCTGCAGAATAAGACGGTATCAATCCTTCCCCAGTTGGATCGTGTACCGTACTGGGAGAAGGCTCCAGCCACTTTTGCAGAAAAAGACCTATGGTAGTCATAGAATGCTGAACCACCATATTTGTTGCCCAGGTCTACCAGCTTGTGCATATAGAGATCAAACTCCTCTCTTCTGTTGGGATAAACCGCACAGACGACATCCCTGTAAATACCAAACGCTAGTACAAATTCAGGGATAGTCAGTTTCCTGTTCAGGCGGGCATCCCTAGATCTGACAATAACAGAAACATCATCATAAGCATACGTCTTATGTTCCACAATGTCCTGGGAGGCAATCAACAGGGAAGCCAGGTTGACGTCTTTACCTTCCAGGATATCCCTTTTGATATGCTCAGGTATCATGTGGGCTGGGCTAACTTCCTGGTCATCCAGGGGGCTGGCTGGAGCGACTAATGGCAAGGCTGGTGTTTGTACCGCAGCCGCGGGTGGCCCTGCTAGAGTGAGGGCGTGGTGACCGACTCAAGTTTCTCCAGCCTGGAGTTGACCTTGCCCATGGATGCCATGAGTGAGGATAACATGGCCTGTATGTCCCCTGGGTTGGACTGGCTAGATCCTTCCCCGGCTTCCATGTTATTGGTTGATGTGCGTAGCAGTTTGAAAAGTTCTGCCTTCCTTGCTGTAGCGGGGTAGGGGATTTGTCGTCTCCTTAATTCCGTGGTTATGCGCGGGATTGTCCAGGATCTAATTGATGCTGGACTAGCTAGCTCTCCTCCTTGTGTGGGAGTGACAGCTCTAGCCGGGGTGCTAGGCAGGGAGAAATCCTCTACCCCTTCCTGAGACATACTATAAATAAAACAATAATTAGTATATAGAACCACCAAATTGTACTGGCAGGCTAGCTAGGCCGGATGGCGAAAGTATTATGCTTGTTTGGTGACAGGAGAGGCCCTACTAATTGCCAAGCGGCTTGAGAGGCTCTATCTATGCGTTGGCGCGAGGGGTTATTGAGGCCACTTGACGTAGTGGCAGAGTTTTAGGCCTCTCGGTGACTGTACGACAGAAAACAGGGGAAGGGAGTGACAGGTGAGGCCCTCTCTTTGCAACATGCGAGGCGGCTAGCTAACGTGTGGCCCGATGGGTGTTTGCCTCCGAAACGTTTGAGGCGGGGTGTTGGCCTCGCGGGACCACTAACTAATGGCGACAGCCAAGATGGGGTAAATACCTATTGGGAATCCTGTGACCCTATTGCCAGTACTCTAAACTAGGGGGATGAAATGAAATGTATGGTAGAATACCATATGAGCAGGTGTACGTACCTGGTAGTATGATAAATCACAGGAATAAACCGTGTGGAGCAATTATATAAGCTCGACAGCCTAAAAATGGGTAAAAGAGTAGTACGATGAGTGTGGGGTGTAAAAAGAACCAGACTTATAGTCTGTAGCAGCAATGTATAAAATTATGTTGATACCATGGGAATAGCTATGAGTGGCTCAGAAATGTTTGCATGCTTGAATAAGACATCTGAGGGAGGCCGTGGCCTATGTACAAACAATCTATGTGTTACGTGATAATGGTGTGTAAAGGAAAACATGAAACGTAGGTTATATACATATGTATATGACTGTGTAGGGGACGTATGATTGGTTGGATCAGTACGTGTGATTCAACCCGAGTATGCATGCAAAAGGATTTAAGCCTTATGTGTCATCGTCATGACAGAGAAATGAGGCCTGTAATGTAGGCTGAGTAAATTGAAATGAAATGGATAGTTATAAAACTCCTGGCGTGGGAGTTCAATGATCTGTACCGAAATGTAACTGGTTTTATAGAAAGGGACATGGATGAGGTCATGGCCTAATTAACACAGCGTTATATATGATATGTAGCAGAAAGACCAAAGGCAGGGATACCCCAAAATGATTTAACATGATGTAAAGTGATGTATATCTATATGATATGTATGTATAGCAAAGACGTATCAACCCGAGAATTATTGCTTAAATGAACCTATCCTTGTATATGTTGTATAAATAACCCAGAAATGAGGCTTGTAACATAGGCTGAGTCCATTCGTATAAATGGATAAGTAATGCAGACCCCTGAAAGCGTGGGAGTCAAATGGTATACACAGAGAAGTGGACTTGATTTGTGGACGTAATACAATACTGACAATTTGTTAAAAGTAATCAACAATAATCTATTTAAGCAAGCAATACTTTAACCGAATGTTATATACACATGAAATGGTGAATATAATTCATGAAAGGATTATACGTGAACACACAGAACAGCCGAAAGCAAATGTGAGGGGAACACAGAAGTTAGAATAGTTTAACCGTATGATTTATGCGAACCAAAGCGTGTATGAGCGTATGTAAAATTTGCCGAACGGCAAAACAACCGAATGAACATTCGTTTAAATAACATGAATAGGATATGCGAAATGACTATTGAACGATTTAAAACATGTTCAGCCGAATGACCGTACGAATGAAAAGCCCGCGAATGGCTTGAAACATTCGTGTCATAACCAGGGAAAAGCCGTAAAGCGAGGACCCGTGCTGTACCGTACGCCGTGGGAACCAGTCCTGGCGTGACAGGAAGGTCTGACTTACGGTTTAGGAGTCCCTGGGACGCGATCTACGACGGAGAACAGAGTCAGAAGAAGCTGGACGGGCGGAAAGGCCTGAACAGGATTCCTGGACAAAGCTTAACGTGGTGAAACCTCCTGGATACTGAAACCAAGATGGCGTCTGAGAGAACCCGGAAGTGGATCCTCATTCAACGCTGACCTCGAACGGTAAGGAGCCAGGCAAGGGGAGTGCCTTAAGTAGGCTAGGGGTAGAAAACCAGCACCTCCCACAAATGCAGGCAAATTGCCTTAATACATATATATATATATAAATGAATGATACATTTATTTTGCTTCAATTTCTTGTTTTTGCATATATTTTCTTTCAATGCATTATCAGTACAATTCATTAAAATAAAGAATAGGTGAACTAACTCGAGTCTCCCTTTAAACACTTTTGTAGTTGTTAAAGGGAATAAAATTCTAGAATGTGAGAAAATGAAAGGGCCATGTCTGCACTTTGAGAACTGTTGGGCATGCATTTGATACATTCTATTTCAAGAGTTATTAGTTACAAACCTGCTTCTGGCAAAATAATTCAGCTGGCGGTTTTCAAGATGGAGTCAAAATGAACAATGACAGCGTTATTAAAAAAATAAAGTAAAATCCCATCTCTTTCTCTCAAGAGTCATCATGAATAGCTTTCCACAAAGACTATTTAATTTAGCAAGATTTTCACCTGCTCTAAAACCTATTGTAGAGCTACAGTTTAAAAAAGGGGGATGTATTTAGGTTTTAGCTTGTGAGCCATTTCTTAAATTCTAGATTTACCCAATGTGTGTTTGTATACAGTAATGGTGAATATATAAATTTGCAGAATCAAACAATATAGATAAAAAACACAAAACAAAAAACACCACATGACTAGTAATGTATACTCAAATAGTATTGTAAGTTTCAGCAGCGGAACTACTACAATTGGTGGGGCTGCACCAGGACCTGCATGCTAAGGGGGCCAGCACTTCGGAAGAGGTGATAGGCATGTGGTGGTGGGCCTTTAATAAATCCAACTCCACTCCTCTCATATTGACAACCCTTAGAAGGAAGTGAGAGCCTGTCACTTCCATCCAGACAATACTACAGAGTCTCACAGGAGGAGAACAGAGGGTGCAAAGTCAGAGAGCCAGACTGGCTTCCAACTACCTCCGCAAGCAGATACAACATGACCCCTACAGCAAAAAAAAAAAAAAAGGTACGAAGGTAGAAAAAAAAAAAAAAAGGTACGAAGCAGGAGGGTGACTAAAAAACAAATGGACAATTTGACTAGCATGTGTGTATCAGTGGAAGTGAATGTGTGTCACCGTGTGTATAAATGCAAAAAAATAAAATTAAAAGAAGGTCCTGTGTGTTTTCTCACTGGTAAGTTCCCACTGGCACAGGGCCCTTACCTCCTGTATTTGTTTATCAAATATTGTATTGCGCTTTGTGCAAAGGTACAATTGTTACAAGCAAAAAGACAATCCTGCGGAATGTTTTTGCATAATAAATGTGTAGAAGGTTTATTTTGAAAATATGACTGAAAGATTGTTTGAGGGAAAAATGTTTAACAATTGAAAAATACTAAATGTGTTTTAGATATATTTAACCAACTGTTGAGTAGCTAATGCTGCTTGTACTTTTTCAAAGTTTTTGAATAGTTGCAATCTCTGCATTTGTTTGCATTGTTTTTTCTTCGTAAACGTCTAAGTTGCATAACTAATTTATATCCATTGTATTAAATCTTTAGACTTAAAGGGACACAAGCCATCAAACCAACTTTAGCTTAGTGAAGCAGTTTTTGTGTATAGATCATGCTTTTAAAGTTTCACTGCTCAATTCACTGCCATTTAGGAGCTAAATCAGGTTTGTGTCTGTTTATGCAGCCCTAGCCACACCTCCCTGGCTGTGACAAACACAGCCTGCATGAAAACAAAATGGTTCAATCTGATGTACTTTTTAACACTTCCTTTTTTAATCACCTGCTCCGTAAATTGAATGACACAGGAGGCTCCTGCAGTGTCTAGCAAACAATTAACCCATCAGGAGATAAGAAATTTTAAATAAAACAATTTGCAATAAAGGAAGTGTAAACATTAGATGACTCCTTACAGGAAATCTTAAGGAAGGCTATGTAAGTCACATGCTAGCAGGTGTGACTAGGTCTGCATTAAAAAAAAAAGTGATTTAACTCCTAAATAGCAGAGAACTTAGCATTGAGACTGCAGTGGCATGATCTATAAACCAAAAATGCTTCCTCAAGCTAAAGTTTTTTTGGAGACTAGAGTGTCCATACAAAGAAGTGTGGAGAGCGATATAGATATAGCAACTCCACACTGATGCCCAGTCATTTAGCAATGAAAAAAAATGTGCATATTTGTTTAAACTTGTGTAACTTTTCCATTATTTTAGAACACAGGCTTTAGAGGAGACATCCAGGACATCATGAAGCAAAGACCTTAAATGTGTTAATATAAAACAAAGATACAAATAATGAGATATAAGTGCACTATAGCAAGCAAATAAAAAAAAAAACCTCAATCACTGACCACGGAAAAAGTGCTCTGTATGTGCATAGATGTTTTACTATCCAATGAATCTAGCCTCCTCTACACTGGATAATGACATTAATGAGGCTCAGTTTGTCTGAACAATTGTATAGATCATGAGGTTTGTTTTTTTTTATTACCATTTATAATAGTATGTATTAAGTTCATTGATCTCACAGATCAAGAAAATATAAATCACCAATTTATGAATGCTCCCTTGGTGCCCATTTAGAATATTTGTGCAGTAGCTTTCAGATGTAAACTCATAATATGTCACAGGCTTCATAAAGTGCACCAAAGCAGTTTTATGAAAACATGTAGGTTTAAAGATACATGTGCAAATGAACCTGTCAGTTTTGCTCATGTAAAGAGTGAAGATGCAAAAAAAAAAAAAAAAAAATTGCACCTTTGAGAATTCCTTCAAAATGCTGATCTTGACATTGTCAGTTGAGGTGTTTGTGCCAAATTTAAATGAGCTGCTAGTCTGCCAGACCTGGAACCCAGTTACATGATGCAGTATTGACCAAGCTATGCTTGAGGTTTTTATTTTTTCCCCACTTCATTAAAGCAAAGTGGAACTATGGTTTTACAATGCTAATTTACTGATATTAATAAATGCAAAGAGATTAAAAAGGAAAAAAAAAAAACACAATTTATTTAAATTGTACAGTACGAATAAGGAGAACTTCAGAGAAATTAAATCCATCAAGTTTTCCTGGTGGTTTAACGTTAGTGATCTCTGCTTTCCCCTTTCCTTCTTCCCCTTAAGCATGTACGTTGCTTCTTAACCCCTGGGTCTAGAACAGGATTAATGGTGCCATAATCTCTGCAGCTATGAAAGAAAATGACGTGGGAGTTATTATCTCAGCTAACTTGAAACCGCTGCAGGCAAGCAATACACCAACAATGCAATAAGCATGGTCAGAACGATGCTGGGTTGTCCTGGAAGGTTTTAGGATTACACAGTGCTAGGAGGTAGAATGTTAAATTTTCAAGGTATAGTAGAAAAACCTGCAGCACTCCAGACAATAAACACAGTTCCATTTGGAAGAAGTCCTGAATAGTTAAAGGATCACTATAGGGTCAGGAACAGAACCCCCCCCACCCCACCCCCAGCACCCTTAAAAGTGATGAAAACTCACCTTATTTCCAGCGGTGCGCGGGTCTGCCGGCACTGGCCCCGCCCCCTTGGTGACATCACAGTTGCCGATTTTTTCTCCCATGGGGAAAACATTGGATTGGCTAAAATCAGCAAGGGGGCAGGGCCAACACAATTTTGGCCAATCAGCACCTCCTCATAGAGATGCATTGAATCAAGCACCCTATAATGTATATAATAAAGAAAAAAAGAGGGATGGAACAGCTATCCAAACTGATCACAATGGGGGAGGGGGGGGGGGTGGGCTGCACACCTGAAAGGCAGGGTAACCCTCAAAACCGTTCAAAGGACTGGAAAAACAGAAAACAACAAGTACAGGGTGCGCCAAGAACAAAGTGAATAAATAAAATAAGTAATAGAAAAAAATACCAAGGAAACAGGCAAATTAAAGTCTAATTCACAGGTATATTCTTCAGAAATTCTCAAGACGTCTTGGGTTAAATCCTCATCAGCATATATGAAAGAAAAAAAAAATGGTGGGGGTTTTTCCACCCAGGCGCTTTACAAAGGGCGATTTGTCTGCTCTGTAAATTGTAAGTACATCTCCTATTTTATCCAGCACTTTTTTTAATATAGAGAGCACTATCGGCCTTCTCTTATGTTTTTATTTCATATGACCTGCACTAAAAATATCGTCAGAGGAATATCCTACATGTGGGGAGTTTAAATAACACTGTATGCTGTTTTAACTCAAGCTGGTTATAGCTCCCATAAATGTGAGTTGGCATTTCTTAACCTCAGTGTTGTCTGTGGCCTTACTCCTTTAAGTTACTGCACCATTGGCCCCCTCTGTGTGTTTTTTTCTTTCATATATGCTGACTAGGATTTGCCTAAGTGAGGTGTTTTTAAATAAAACTATTATAATAAGATTTCAAATCATTGTTTAGTGAATAAGCGAGTGCGTTGGATTCTGTATTTTGTATATTTTGGCCCAAGCAGCACCCCATAATGTATGCATGTTCAGGTGGGTGCAGCCCTCTTGGAAAGATATATATTTGTTCTTGGAATTTCTAATACGTAATGGAACGTAGGAGATGCAAAGTTGGTTGAGGTGTGCCGAAACCAGCATACGAGTAGGCCTGTAATAAAAAGAGGGCCCACAAAGGTGGAATATATATATAGATGGGTGTAGGTGGGTGTGGACAAAGAGCTTGAATGGCAGTTTAAATAGGGGTTATAACTCCTCCCACAAATTCAGGCCAAATGGCCTTTTAACTTGTGCTCGGAATTTCTAATACATAATGGAATGTAGAAGGAGTTGCAAAGTTGGTTGAGGTGTGCCGAAACAAACGTATGAGTAGGCCTGTAATAAAAAGAGGGCAAAAAGAGGATTCAAAGTAAACACACTTTATTGCAAGTTATACAGCAAGGTTACTGAAGGCATGCCGGAGCTCCCTCTCTGGTCTAGGTATATAAGTAAATAAACTGAGGACTTCCAGCGTCCCAGTCTCTTGATCATGTGGACTGGGGCGTTAGAACTTGAAGCTGAGGATGCTGTGCCTATACTAAATGACTGACCAGAGAAGGAAGCCAGGTTGTAGCCCAACCTTGATGGTAGGGTTCTTTCGTGAGAAATGAATTTAGCTGTAGTGAGTGGGTGCCCTTGAAGTAGTAATAGTGGAGTGCCAGGGTAGGAGGTTAAGAAAGTTGTGTGATTAGGGCAGGTTGTGAGGACGTGGTGTTGTACCCCGGTAAAGGTAGAGTTTTATGGTATTGTGTGATAATTTAAGGTGTAGGTGAGAGGAGGAGGCAAAAACCACCATAGTTTTAATGGAAAAGTCTCCTTGTAAGTAAAATCTGCAGTGAATTGTTAAAATAGTCAGTGCCCTAGCGTAAGTGATAGTGTTGTTGGGTGAAAATGCATGGTGCGCGAGTGCCTTGTGTAATAGTGCGCTTAGTCCAGGATTAGCTCATGGAATGGTGGTATCCTGGATGGTGGGCCATAGGGAGTGCCTGGAAGAAAACCTGAAATTGAGAGCGTGAAAGAGCGTCAGCAGCGGTGTTGTGGACACCAGGAATGTGAATGCAGACTAAATGGAACTGAGAGGTTGCTGCCAGTCAAGTCAGCTTGCGAATCAGCCTCATAATAGTTAACGAGGATGACCGCCCCTTGTTAATGATTTCACAAGCTGTGGAGTTGTCTGAGTAGCATTTTACTGCCTTGCCGGTCCATGTGTGGGCGGCTACCACGATGGGGTAGATCTCAAACAATGTGGATGTTTCTCTAAAGGCTGGCAAGGCATCCGTGTCAGTGGTCCAGTGATCCCTAAACCAGAGGTTGCTGAAAATGGCTGTGAACCCTGTGTGTGCTACTGAGTCTGTGTAAATTGTAGCTCTGAAAGTGGAGGAATGAACAAAGAATTCAGCCAAGAATCTACTCCACATGTGTAAAACTGCCCTGGCCGGATCGTCCAGAATGATTGGGCAGGAGTCGGGCACCCCATGGAGCAAATTAAGTAGCCTAGAGACAAAAGACATACCGTGCGGAATGATACACATCGCGAAGTTAAGAGTCCCTTCCTTGTGCACGTAACACTCCGCATGAACAGGACAATTTCTTCCCTAATGTGAGTCAGTTTATCTGGTGGTAGACTGGCTTGGAAAGTAGTGGTGTCCAAGACTATACCTAAGAAAACAAGCTTGGTAGAGGGACCGAGAGTTTTGCTTGGTGACAGAGGGACCCCAAGTGTGGTGAAAAGGACTGCTGTGACTACTGCTAGGTGTTTGTGATCCTGGTTCAATCAACAAAAAATCATCCAGATAGTGGATAACTGATGGACACCTGATTATGTTTAGGAGCAGCCAGCAGAGGGTTTCTGAGAAGATGTCAAATAACTTTGGGCTGCTCCTAGAGTCGAACGTAAGCCGCGTAGAGGAAAAAATACTTATTACTCCATTTAACACCGTACAAGTGCCGTAGTGAAGGGTGAATGGGTAGCAGTTCAAGGTGTTGGTTATGTCTGTCTTGCTTAACCATGCCTTGCTACCTGCTGAAATAATAGCTTGCATGGCATTGTCAATTTTGGCATATTGCAGTGAGAACTCCTCAGTGGGTATGAGAGAATTGATGCTGGGAATGGAGGAAGAATGTGGTGCAGAGAGGTCTATAATCAAATGTTTTTATTGGAGTATTTGTGAATGGCTATCCCGATGGGGTTGGTACGCCAAGATGAGAATGGTGAAGACAAGAAAGGGCCGATCATGAAACCAGCCTTGATTTCTGTGGACAGAAGGTGGTCCACCGTAAGTGGGTCATTGGATGCAGATAATAGGTTAGGGCATTCGAGTGTACCTGTGGGGATGGTGATAAGGTGTGTGAAACCCCAGTGAGAAAGCCGTCACCAGATAATCTACCAGATGCCTAGCTGGGTGTGAATGCAGATATTAATCCAGTATGTCAATGTTAACCTCGGTTATTCGTTTCTTAGGTGACAATTTGTCCGGGCACATAGACTTGGTGTGAGCTCTGGAGCAAATGGAGCAGATGTGCAACAACCTGCATGCAGTGAAACTGCATTAAAGTTATTGCACACCTGCTCCCCTAATTAAATGGGTCTGCCCAGCTTGTCCCTCTGCCCACCTTCCTGTCTTGTGTGTGTGGTGAAGGAGTGGTGAGAAGTGGAAGTGGAAGGGTCTGCCTCGCAAGGGCACAAGTCAGTGAAGTGAGAAGTGGAACTACAGGAGGCACAGGATGGGGGCCTCAAACCAGCAAAGTGACAGCAAAACAGTTCTGTGTCCATCTGGCACCAGTCGATTCTTATGTTGAACTGTGCCAGATGAGTAGCTGCCTTGGCCGACACTGATTTATGATAGTCATAAAATGAGGACCCTCCGTACTTGATGCCTAAGTCAACCACCTTGTGCATGTATAAATCAAGCTCTTCCCACCTATGTGGGTACACCGTGCAGATAACGCCACGATAAATGCCAAAGGCGATGACAAACTGGGGAATGGAAAGTTTCTTATTAAGTTGTGGATCTCTGGCTTTTGGTACTACTGTAATGTCACCATAATTTATAACCTCTGTTCTCTAGGATGCCTTGGGAGGCTATGAGTAGTGACACTAGATTAACATCCTTTCCATCAAGAATTTCCTTCTTTTTGGAAGCTGGAACAGAGTGGGCCGGTGAGACGTATAGGGTAGTGATAGTGGCTGGTGGAGGAGGGGGGATGAGGGGTATGCCAGTCTGAATGGCCGAGACAATCAGGGGAGGGAATGCGGGGCCTGTCAAGTCACCTGGTGTGACTATGGCAGATTCCACTTTCAGCAGCCTGTTGATTGTTTGGAGGTTTGCTGAAATAGCAGCCAGGGTCTCCTGAGTAGAATTTGAGCTGTTAGCTGATGGCCCTTGCAAACTAGTGCTGGGCCTAGGGTCGCTGACCTGTGCCGTCAGGAGCCGGATAGTTCTGCTGTTCTAGCACTGGCTGGAAAGGGGATACCCCCCCCCGAGTCTGAGCTCTGCTGATATTTTAGGAATGGTCCAATATCTCAGGGATCTAGGGGTAGAAAGGGTGAGGGATTCCTCTGGAGACCCATGCCTGACTGGCGTGCTGGGTATTTCGTCCAACGGCAGATCGATGATTGGGATGGATTCTTGTGACATTCTGAAAAGGATTAATGATTTGGATAAGTAGGGTGTCATGGAGGTGGGGATGAGACCTTCAGAGAACTGGCCTGCTAACTAGTGCCGAGGCGAAGAATTTACCTAGAACCAAGTGACAGGTGAGGCCCTGCTAGTGCCAAGTGGCGATGAGAGGCTCTACCTATGGTTTGGGCCGAGGGAATTCATGGCCACTTAAACGTGGTGGCAGGGTGATGACCTCTCGGTGACCGTAAGAGATTCAAAATGTGTGGCCGTGACTTGGGAAGCCCTAGCTGTAGCCCTAAAGAAGGGCAAGCGAGGTGGCTAACTATGATTTGGTCGTGGGGCTGAACCTTAATGTTGAGGTTGATGGTGTAGAACTTGGCAAAACTGTGGTAATGATGGAGGTCTAAGTAATGATATGTAGAAATGAAAGACAAGCAACGTACCGTTAAAATTAGTAGTAGCAAAGTGGTGTAGGTCTAGGTGATTGTTGTTGAAATCGTAGTGAAGAATCTTAGCCCTGGCCCGTTTAGAACCCACATTGGGAGGCTGAATGAGGCCGTGGAGGCTGAATGAGGCCTCAAGGGGAAGACAAAAAACAACTGGTAAACCTTCTTACCTGATACAGTAATACAGGATACTGGGATACCACCTCCTGGAGACTGTTTGAAGGAACTCTAGTAGAGCCTAAAAACATACGCATCCTAAGGAACCAGTATATAAGGTTTTAGGAAAACAGATTTTGCAATCATGCTTATGGTCTATAATGAGCCTGGTGAAAAGGAACCATTAGAGCTTAACCTATGACATGCCAAAACAAAGAAAAAGATGTAGTTAACGGAGTGACCTTAGTTACACAGAAGACTAGTTTGTGTATTAGGGAAAGGAAATTAATTTATAATATGAGAGACTAAGTTCCAGCGGGAGTAAATAATGGTGCCTAGTGGTGTATTAGTATACTGTTACTTATTAAGTGATTATGGCCTGACCGTACCTTTAAGAAGAATACCCCTGTGTAAAAATGGTGTGTCCCATAAATTATATGACCATAGCCGAGGAATAGTGAAAAACAGATTTAATATTTTAGCCAGAGGTAACTGATGAGCCATATGCTTAACACATAAATTAAAATAGGATGCAGAAAATGTGAAAGGTGAGTTCTTTCGTTTAAATGAATGGCATAACAAAATACATTTAACAACAGATTAGTGAACTGAAGCCTCCTGCGTTCGGCCAAAACAAACAGAGAAGACTATAAGCAGAAGAGAAATACCTGCGGTCGGTTAATGGACCGCACGAAAGAATAAATGAAAGCCATGTACATTGCGGTCAGCTGTTTAAAACTTTGACGACCGATGACGGTTCAGGATCCTGAACCGTCATAACGGTCACATGTACTTACCCGATCACCGTCGTTCCCCCGGTGGCGATCGGCGTTGCTCCCGCTGGACAAACAGCTTGAACGGCAAAGGTGAGTAGGGGGGTAGGAGTTTAAATAGGGGTCATTACTCCTCCCACAAATACCGGCCAAACATACACACACAAATACACATACATAAAAAAGTGTTTGCTTTAAATTTAAAAATCTTCAGAGCAGCAAATAGAATGTAACAGAATATTATTCAGTATATCATGTTGCATTCTAAGCCAAAGATAAAGATATAGTAAGAACTAGCACAATATCTGTAACTATTGGACATCCTCTCTCAACTTTGTAATCCCCAAATTAAAAAAAAATTCCCCCCCCCAAAAAAGGAAAGGGAAGAGGATAATGTACCTCGGAGTGGATTCCTCGTGTGGCCGGGGGATTTCTTACAAACAATTTGCTGTTAAGAACTTAAAAAAAGTATTAGCATTACATTTATTTGAAATATGGAATTCATCGCTAGATCAGAAACCTAATAAAAAGCGATTGTCTGAAAAATACACACAAGCATAATAAAGGTTTATGGAAAATTTAACAAATTTTAATAAAATGTATTCATTCACCTGTTGTAGAATTATTGGGTTAATAAAAGGCTTTGGGAGCTATACAGTATCCCTTATCTTGCAATATTTCACACAGGGTCTGAAACTAATATAAATGCAAAAATAAAAAAATCTCACTTACAGTAGGTGTGACAAAATAGATAAATATAAATAGCCTGCCTGTAGATATTTGGAATGACCTTGAAATTATTACTAGCAGTACAGCTTTCTAAAAATGGCAGAATGTAAAAATGTCTGCAATTGAGCACAATGCTCATATAAAGAAAGTATAAATAGATCAGATTCTTAAAGTAAAAAGGTATATAATAAAGTTATAACCATGGCATGCTAATGTAATACCAACAGTGTAATCGGAGAGCCCATTCACTACTCCCTCTCTGTGTAATGGCACGGGTGCTAGCCTCCAAGTGCACCTTCGAGGTGCTGTATTTGGGCTGCTTCTACACACTGCTCCTGGCCACTCCCGCTGTAGTAAAGTGTGACATCCAAGCAAAGCGAGCCTCGAGGAACAAGCAAGTAGTAGCTCATATAAAAATAGGACTACTTTCTTCCTGTAATCAAACCAATTGGTTAGAGGAAGGGGCAAAGAAATAAGGTATGACTGGTAGAATAAGGGACATAAAGAGGACATATAGAAAGGTGGCATGGATGAGAATAAATTATTATTATTATGATATTTATAGAGCGCAGTCAAATTCCGCATCGCTTTACAATTGGTGGACGAACAGACATGTATTTGTAATCAGACAAGTTGGACACACAGGAACAGAGGGGTTGAGGACCCTGCTCAATGAGCTTACATGCTAGAGGGAGTAGGGGAAAATAACACAAAAAGGTAAGGATAGTATTGGACTAATGACAGTTGCAGAAGAGGAATCAGTCAGGAGCTATTAACAGTTTAATTGATACGCTTTTATGAAGAAGTGGGTTTTTAATGATTTTTTGAAGGAGTGGAGACAGGGTGAGCATCTAACGGAGGAGGAAAGCGAGTTCCACAGGAACGGTGCAGCCCTCGAGAAATCTTTTAGGCGAGCATTAGAGGTGAGAGTACGGACAGAACATAGACGTAAGTCTTCAGCAGAGCGTAATGGCCTAGACGGGACGATAGATCAGCATTATGTAGAGATTTGAAAGCAAGAACCAGAATTTTAAATTGAGCTCTATATTTTATAGGAAGCCAATGTAGGGACTGACAGAAGGGTGAGGCATGGGCATTGGGTGCATACACACCTGCATTCACACACACACTACACCGATACCACCTGTATTCACAAACAGATACTCCAAACAATATATACACCATATATACAAAAGTGGAAAGGCCTCAGGTTTTGCTTTTGTTTACACAGAGATGATGGATGCCAACATATAAAAATAAATTGGAAAAAAAAATATGAAAGATTGATGAATGATTTATAAAAAGGCAGTGACAAGGGAGAAAAAAAACAAACAAAAAAACACCAAGACTTTAGGCGATTTCAGGAAATTATGATAAATGAGATAATGACCCAAATCGACCATATTATTTTGTCTTGGAATAATAAACATTTATAATCATTGCAGACAAATAGGGCAGTTTTTTGTTTAAAAGAGAAAAGGAAATGGAAGGTGAATTAACTAAAAAATCTTTGTAAGCCGAAACCGTGCACTGCTCAAGGCAGCAATGATTATACCACTTACTGGGTATTCTATACTATAATTACGGACCTACTATTTCTCCTCTAGAATTTTTCAAATACTCTATTACTCAGGTTTGCAACAAGAGGTGAAACAATATCACATTCCATTATCTAAAATTGCAGCTGTAAAGTTAAAGCATATTACACTAACTGCCAGGATGTGTTTTAGGGTACAAAATGTGTAGGAGTGGTAGCTTTACAGGCTAAGGATAATTTGATTTCTTGCAACTTTATAAGGAACCTCTAGAATTGAAAATAATTTTTGGGACCACAAGTTCCCTTCTATAATTGTGACCTCAGCTCACTTTGCTGGTAAAAAGTTTAGCTAAATAAAGTTTACTCATGTCTACTTTCATAGTCATTCAGTATGCCCCCTGATGTCTTACGTGATCTCAACCAATCCAATGCTTCTCAGAGAAGCATGGGGGATAGGACATGTGCGGTAAAATGCAGAGCTACTCCAATCAAATGCTCACAATAAGCACTATAATGACTCTTCCTGATGATGAAATGCCTCTATATGCTATAAGGAAGACTGCCCCTAGGGGTGTATTTAACACTTCAATTTAAAACATTGCCATTTTGATATTTAATTTGATATTGAAAGATAAAATAGACAATGTACCCAGACCACTTCATCTGGTTGGTGTGTTAAATGAAGCTCAGACATTTATTTACAGTTTATAGAGAAAGGGAAAATATTGGCAATGATAAAAGAATTAAAAAAGAAAAAAAAAAATCAAAGTGATCCAAATAGTAAAAACAGCATTCATGATAAGACTACTTAAACAGCTATATTATTTAAAATACAATAAGGCCTTCTCCCTGCTGGCATCTAAACTTAGACAGAAAATAGCGCAATCACAAATTACATATTTGTTGGGAGAGGATGGTAAAAAGATTACTCATCCAATTGAAATTAGTAACCAATTTGCAAACTATTATAAATCATTATACAATTTGGCCTCTGATCCAAAAACCATACAACCTAATACGAAAAAAATAAAATCCTCTTTAGACTAAATTTACTAACGCCAAGTTGCCCCAGATAAATTAATTTTTTTATATTTGGCCATATACCAACAAGAGGTATTGGCAGCTATAAACAAAATTCCAGGTGGTAAAGCACCAGATGGCTTTACCATGATATATTACAAACATTTTTCCAAAATACCTTTGTATTAAATTAGTCTGATATGGCATTCTGGACAGAAGGAAAAAATGCCAGGTGAGTACTTGTGCACGCAAATCACTCTGCCGAAGTGGGGAAGAGTCTTGACCGCTGTGCCAACTTTTGGACAAATTCTTTAATAAATAATGATATCAAAATCTACGCTAACATTTTTGCACAAATTGTCCCTGTGGTAGCTGATAAAGACCAAGTGTATTCCATTGCAGGGAGACAGGCCCGAGATGGTACAAGGAGATATATAAACATAATATATCGATATAAGCAAATTTAATGCCTCCTCTACTCCTTTCCTTGGATGCGGAGAAGGCATTCAATAGGGTTCACTGGGGCTATTTAAGGGAAGCTCTGCTCAAATTTAGTATACCCACCCCCATTGTTAAAGCCATTTTTGCATTATATTAAAAAACGATCGCAAAAGTTTCTGCTATAGGTTTCACCTCTGATAATTTTCTAATTAACCAACTAATCTAACTAATGGAACCTGACAGTGCTGCCCATTTTCCCCGCTATTTGCTCTAGAGATGGAACCATTGACAGCATTGATAAGGAAATCAGATATTAAGCGAATTTCAGTAAAAAATACTGAATATCAAATAGGTCTCTTCGCGGATGAAATTATCCTATCTTTGGCAGAACCAAAAACTTCAGGTGACTCCCTAAATTCTACACTACCGGAGTTTGGAGAAGTCTCCTTTTACTGGCTCAATACAGGAAAAATGCAGGCTATGCCTATACACATTCCTTAGTGTGATCTGGATGATTTGAAAACTAAATTCAACTTTGACTGGAGAGACTCATTCATTGATTACCTTGGAGTAAAACTATGCAGAAATTTCAACAGTATGTACACATTTAATCTTAAAAAAAAAGCTAGGCCAATATTACAATAGGAAATGGAAAACTGGAATAAGTTGGAAAATTCATGGTTAGGTAAAATTACATATATTAAAATGAACATCTTACCTAAATACTATACTACTTGAGGACTATTCCCTTGCCAATTCCAAAGACATTTTTTAAAACAGTTCAATCTGCTCTAATTAAGTTTAACCCCTTAATGACACATGACATGTGTGACATGTCATGATTCCATTTTATTCCAGAGGTTTGGTTCTTAAGGGGTTAAATGGGGAAATAAGATGAGCAGAATAAAATTTTCAGTATTGCAAAATCTCAAGTCTTGTCCAGGTTTAGGGATACCCATTAAAAAAAAATTATATATATATATATTTATTTATTTATTACCAGGCAACTAATGCCGCTACAGCACTTAAGTTTGGCCTACACGTTTGGCCTTAGATTCCACGATGGCTTGAGATGGAAAATGATAGGATGTCACCATATTCTATTAAAGAAGTACTGTGACTTCAGATGTCTGGGCGACCCAGGATAGCTGAGATGTTTCCCACTACTAAGATTACCATCAAAGTTTGCGATACTGTGTTCAAGGTAGTTGGCCCTTTCTCTTGGTGGCTGTGAGTAATGCTGCTGACTAGTAATACCAGATATTCCGGATTTAAATTTGGATAATTGGCACACAAAATCAGTTGAAAATTTTAATGATTTTCTTAGGTAATTCTTTAATGCCTTTTATGAAACGTAAAGATAAATTTGGCCAAGAAGATAATATGCAATTAGAACACATATTAATTAATAAAATATATTTTACATTCAACATGGAGATCAAAATTGTACAGAAAATGCATTATCTGATCTGTAAAAAACATACTTACATAACCCTAATAAATGCGGTACGATATCTCAATGTTACTCTTATCGAATGGCCACACCGAGATTAAAAGAGGATTACATGCTTGCATGGGAAAAGGATATGGGAGCTTGTTACAACCTGGAGGAATGGCTTAAATTTGTACCAGCTCTTAAAGGAGTACACAGTGCTCCAATTATTGGGAAAACCATTTCAAAATAATTTATAGATGGTATTTATCCAATATAGGTTGAATAAAAGAAACTCCAGATGTTCAGATAAATGTTGGAGAAACTCAAATGATTGGCTTGCTTTCACATGTTTTTTGTTATTGTCCTAAACTCACAATTCTGGCAGGAAGTACATAAATGAATCCAAAAAGTTAATTATAATATTCCTGTACTTACTTCAGAACGATCACCTCTCTAAAAATTAGACACTTTATAGGGAAAAACTTTCTGTTTTTTGCTATGTGAAAGTATTAAAGATGTAGAAATTTGACACAGAAACATAGAATGTGACGGCAGATAAGAACCATTCGGCCCATCTAGTCTGCCCAATTTTCTAAATACTTTCATAACATTCCAGGGCACACATTGCAATAAGGATAAACTTCCAGGGATATTTATCAAATTATTGCAGTTAGCATGTTAATCTCCCACGTTAAAATTCATGTAGGACCCACGGACATTGGGGTATTGTGACCTAGTGGTGGGCTTAAAATATAGCCATATGGTGGAACTGAATCCCTATATTTGTTTGCCAACATAGGTTATTCTAGGTAGCCTTGTAAAAATTTTAAACATCTTTTCCCTCCTTATCTGTATAATGTATGTGTCCTGGTCTATACGGCAACAACACTACTTAGAAATATATTTTCTAAGTGTGTTCCCAATTTTTTTTATATAAATATAATTTATCAAAGTGTCAGATAGTCTTGTTCCTTTTAGCAGATTTTTTTTTTGTGCAGTTAGTATATTGGTTGGGTTTTATTATTTTTTTTTAATTTTTTTTTATTAAGCCTTTGTCTATCCATCACTTTCCACACCAGACAAGTATTGTATTTCACTTCCTTTGTTTCTCCCGCCACTTTGATGGTCTTTTTGGGCATGTATAAAATTTTATTTTGCAAAAAAAAAAGCCTGTGACCACCTCCTTCCCCCCTCCCCCCATTAACAGAAAATGTCAGAACCTAAAACAATGATTTACAGATACAGTGATCTGAACCGCTTTAATTTTTATTTTAGACGCCAAAACCTGCATTTGTTAAATGAATGGATAAGTTAAAATGTTAAAGTTTTTTTTTTTAAGTGACAGCTCCCCTTTAAACATTTGAATTAGTAGCTCCAGTGCTACAGAACACTGTTTAGTAGACTTGTGCACGGTGAGACACAGCTGATAACTTGCTTACATCAAGTCAACAGCAGCAATATTTCAAACAATATATGGTCTATTAGAAATATCACCAAGAATAAATTCACCAAGGAGCGCTTGACCGTTCTCAACGTCTATATTGTAATAACATTCACTCTTGCTTTCCATTTCTCTTTAGTAAGGTTTAAACTGGTACGGTTTAGAGTTAAAAAAAATTGTTTAAAAAAAATTAAGAGTTGTGTGGGCGACATTTTCCAAATAAATGTAAACATTTCAGAACAGCAAATGAACAAGAATAATCCATGCCTGCTTTATTAGGATGAGGGATTTATTCTGACAGCAGATTCCGCAAAATAACTTTATCGCACATGTTACAGATACAAAGTTTTAATAATGTATACTTGGCAACTAGTATTTGACCTAAACAATAACTCAAATAACACTAAGAATCATTTGGGCCACAGCTGTCTTTTCTGTCTGATTACTTGTTCACCACCTCAAATAACCATCGGAAGATATTTCTGCACTTCTAGCCTTTTGACCCATCTCTTTTTTCCCCCTATGTCCATATCTCATTTTACATTAAGGGTGTCACTTTTGGCACCCTGTAGGCGTGCACACACTTTCATTAGCATCGGCACCAGGAAATTATTCCCATATGCCATTTATTTTTTAGGGTCTTACAATGGGAGTAATAAAATGTTGAGTGGATGTGAGGTGTGGGTGTGTCTGGTATAGGTTAGCTGTAAGTGTTGTAGCTTTGTGTGTGATATATAAGGCTGGCTGTGTGTGGGGAGCGTGAGTGGTATGTGTGGCAGTGAGTGATTAGTTTGGGCCACTGTGAGTATTGTATATCAATGTAGGAAGTAGTGGAATTTCCATTTAGTACAAGATGGGAAGGGAAATTAAAGTTAGCTCCCCCTCAGCCCAATATAGCTTGGGGTGATCAGTACTATTGTGAGGATATGGGGCAGTAGTGGGGGGACTGTATTTGGAGATAGGGGGCTGCAGACAACTCTTTCCATCTGGAACCGGGAGATATATGGTAGAATTGCCACTGCAAATAATCTAGTAAGAGGAGCTGAGAACTTGGCCTGGAGGTACAGGTCAAGCTTGTGACTGCAGCCAGTGACTGTTGGTGGGCAGAGAAATCACAGCACCGGTCAGGGAGACCACCAGGCACGCCCCATGCATGTCACCAACCCTAAAGTACTCCTTATATCAACAGGGTTTTGTGTCTTTTGCACTACACACATTTAAGAAATTCACATTCCATTTGAACCAGTACAGTCTCGCTAAATGGATTGTGAGCTCTTTCGAACAGGGTCATCAGCCTGTTGTTCCTTTAACATTTTGCAGTTGTCTCATTGGTAAAATTACCCCCTTTGTCAAGTGCTGCAAAAAAGGGTTGCCACTATATAAATGATAAAAAGGAATGCTTATTTGTTTCAGATGTATTTGAAAATAAATATATTTAACAAGTCTTGAATACAGGAGTATCAAGTATTTAAAAAATTGAAAGCATTTGAAGATATTGCTTTAGCCTATACATTGATCAAGCCTGCCACAACGTCAATGTACCATATTATATATATTGTGACCTGGGGCCATATAGCACAGTCTTATGGATTGAAATACCACACAAATTGCAGTCTTTATTAATAGGTCTGGCAAATAAACAATTTGAATCAAACAGAAAGATAAGTCTTGCTCTAACACTTGCTACTAACTATACTTTGGCAGCTTATCCGCGGCTAACAAAACAAAAACAGAAAATTTGAGCACAGACTTTCTAAAACGTAACTTTTTCTTATGTCCTTAATATACATTTTCTCAAGAGGCTCTTTTGGAGAGGAATCCAGTCTCACTCGCTGCTTGTCCTGCTCTTCCCAAATCCCAGCAATGAGCAGCACAAGGCTGCTATAACATTTTTCTCTAACAGGTGAGCTTCTACCTGGGTGACTTAATTCCTCAACTGCTAATCATGTAAAATAAAGTGAAGCACTGGAGCTTGACTTCAAATATTCTACCCCAAGAACCAATTAAATCACACAATTGATATTAACACAAAAACATTCTTCCTGGGGATAGTAGACCATACATGGCATCACAGCACTTTTGGTGGAATATAGATACCAAACACACAAACTATTTCAAGTTTAAATATATCTTTGATCAGAGATGTATCACCGAACCATGACAAAGAACTAAGGCCTTGATAAAATATTGTTTGATAAGCTTTCCAAAAGATTTAATATGTTTTAAATATTTTAAATTTCAACATACAACTCGCAATTTTGATATATATTTTTTTTATTTATTTGTCATATCCATTTAAAAAATACAATATAATATTAAAATATTTTTTCATAATATTAAAAGAAATTTGAAATGCATGTTTAACAATATTAAATGGAGTCCTATATTTGATTTAGCACTACTTCTGAAATCTCAGTAGACCAGATTTTTCTAGTTTACTAAGTAGGTTGGAGTACCTTTGAGAGTGGTAATTAAAGTTACGAATTGCTTATATTCAAAATAAGACAACCCACACAGCAGTGCACCCCACATTGATCCCATGCTGGAAGCATCTCAAGTAGAGACATTTCCCTTCACTCGGGCCAAATATTTCAGAGTGCTTCTACCAAACGGTTTTAAAGCTTTACGAACTTCATTCCTCACCCCCACACTACTACAGGAAGAATCACATGATCTCATAAAACGGCAAGTGCCTCATTTCAATTGGTTGTGTAAAATTAACATTCCTAAAATGAATGTTCTTCCCAGTATACTCTATTTTCTACAAGTTTCACTTTAGCTGTACCTACTTTTTTTCCATAAAGAGACATGGAAATTATTCTCATCATTTATTAGGGCCTCTAAACACCCCAGTATTTCTTACAGTATCATATCTAGACCTAAACACTCGGGAGGATTGTTCATGTTAATCAGAGTTCAATAGTATTTCCATGAGAGTGCGTCAACTTATTAAATGGCTTCCCACGGTAGGCTATGCAAACACATTTTTGGGACATACACCAACCTGCATTTCTTGGTCTTTAACTTATCTACTTTTTGCAAACATTTGTCTCTTTTCTCGCTTCAGTTTTATTTACCCCCCACCCCGGTCAGCAATACCCCAGCTCAGATGACAGTAATATATGTTAAAGACCACCATTACATATATAATAATAATAATAATAATAATAAAACATACAAAAGGAGACTTTGAGATGTACATGAGCATCTATCAATACGTGGTCACTACTTCGTTCTGGGCTGGAATAATAGAACGGGCATTTTACATTCCTGGATACATTGAGACTATCTGCTAAACTGCTAGACTATCTGCGAAACGTAGGACCTAGCTTTATGAAACAATCATTCTCCAACCAGTGGTGTACCTACTACGGTCAAAGGGGGTCGCAGCTGCGACCGGGCCCCTCACTCCATCGACTCCTGCGACAGTGGGCTGGATGGATACCTCCCGGGTGTCTGACAGGCGAGAAGAGCTGTGCTGCTCCCCTGGCTGAACGGTCTGTGAGGAAGTGCTCACTAAGAGAACTAACTGTCAGACCGTGATGCAGCCCCCCGTTTTCCTCCTGTCATAAGGGAGCTGTAGATGTGGCCTGCTGGCCACCTAATGGCCCTCCCCCACCCCTCCGGTGGGCGGCTGTGTTATGGCAGAGGCAGCAAAGGGAGCCGTGTTCTCCCTACTCTGCTCCCTTGCACACCGTTTGCTAATGCCGGCATCAGTAGACAGCTCACAAGGCATGAGGGAGCAGAGTAGGGAACACACAGCTCCCTTTGCCGCCTCTGCCGGGAACACAGCCGCCATCCTCACTGAAGCCCCACTGGACCCCAGGGACAGATCCACACCACCTCTCCAGGTAGGAGATATGAATAATTTGTGTGTGTCTGTGAGTGCATGTGTGTGTGTGTGTGTCTGTATGTATGGGTCTCTGTATGTATGTGTGTGTCAATCTGCATCTGTATGTCTACATGTGTGTGTGGGGGCATGGACATATAGGGGGGCAGGGCAATTTTTACACCGGGGCCCCGTGGTTTCTAGTTACGGCTCTCTCTCCAACACTATCTGCATCTAATAGTTTGTAAATAAATTTTATTCTATATTTAGGAATGTCTGTATGTTATGATGTCCAATATTTGGTTGCTACTTGTATATATATGGATGTGTAACTGGTATTTCTACTTTAAAGGAATAAAGCTGTATTCCTGGCACTATCGCTGCCTCCCCCCTCCTTTGTGCCTTCCACCCTCCCCCCAGTAAATAAAGGGTTATTTACCTGATCAGAGGGCCAAGGTCCCTCTGTGATGATCCGCCCCCCTCCTCCATCCCTTTACAAGTGGGGTCTAATGCCCATTAATTTCCTATGGGGAATAATCTGAAGCTGGAGGTCCTCATGCAGAGCGAGAGGATGTCCAGCTCCAAATAACTGATCAAAAGTCTATTTCGATTTAGGAAGCCCTCTAGTGGCTGTCTGGTAGACAGCCACTGAGGGCAGGCTTCGAGCTGCAACGTAAACATTGAAGTTTCTCTGGAACTGCGTTGTTTTACATTGCAGGACCAAGTGCGAAAGGGACACAGCACCCAGGCTACTTCAATGAGCTGAAGTGGTCTGGGTGGCTTCAGTGTCCCTTTAAAATAAAAAATAAAACAAAACCCTTTAGTTATAGAGAACAAATGCAGTTAAGCAAAAGCTTTTGAATTGTATAAAGGAGGTCAATTTTAAAATACAAACAATACTCTACCACAATAATGGTGTCATGTAAATACATCTTGAAAAATAACCCAATCTTTGTTTCCTGCGCATGTACAGTAGGGTTGTCCTCTCCATAACGAGTGTGTTCTGAATTCTTCTACGACTGCCTTAAGGTGAGACAGTACTATTGTTTTATATTGATTCTTCAAACACCTTACTGGGAGCTACGCCAGGTGAAGTTTACATCAAGTGTGGCTGAGCCAAAGTTTGTCAGCATGCTTAATTTTGCAGTGATGGATTGTTCAAAGTCTTAGGTTTTTCTTACATGACCTTCACACAGTTCCACAAACCTTTTGGTTAATTTAGTAATGGAGTTTTATGGCATCTAAAAAGCAAATATTATAAGGTCTTTACAGGAATCTAATTGGGCCATGTATGGAGAAGGAGTAAAGGTACAATCCAGGCACCAAAACTTCATCTAAACGAAGTTATGGTGCCAAGAGCCTCACTCTTACCTCAAGGGGTTAAGAGTGCCTCCAGTGCAGATCTCAGCTCTCCCAGGTGGCACTCTGTTTCTAAAATTTAGTTTCAGGAAGTGCAGATTGCTGCCGGGCAGCTGATTCTCTCAGCCAATCAGTGGTTCCCCACAAAATTGTAAAGAAATGTATCTTTTCCCCAAGTCAATTTTGTGAATGGGAAGTCACTAATTGGCCAAACCATCAGCTGACCACTCCCAGTGGCCTACACCAAAAGAACTTCATGTAGACAAAGTTATGGTGTCCAAACTATCCTTTAAGATAGCATGGGATAGGACTTCTGAAGCAGGATTTCTAGTAAAAAAAAAATGCTGTTCTCTTTATTTTTGCCATAACAGTGTAGAATACACAACTGCCTAAAAAAAGTCTGCCAGTTGGTCTATTTAACCTCAGCACTAATCAGTTCTATCCTGTACACAAATGTAGAGATCTATATTCTACCAGAATGCAGTGCCAGGAATTTAATAGAACTTTATTGTTTTGTTTTTTTTCTTTCAGAGAATTGACAAACTTCATTCCTTCAATAGTGTCTGACAAAAACATGCACTCACACATGGCATTGTATTTGCATGTCAAGAATACACAAATGTAAAATATAAAACTCTCAATGCACAATCCATGGCTAGTATTAGTTAACTGTAGTGTAGTGAGATTTCTGTGTTAATTGACAATACTAATTGACACTAAATGGCACAGCTCTGATTTTGGAAGCTGAAATCAGGTGAAAGTGCTACATTGTGAATTCTGAATAAAAAAGGAAGATACATTTTATATTCACTAGCATGCCATTACCCTTGTCCATTCTATTGAGAAAGAGAATTTTGGAGAAAACACCCTAGTCAGATTATAGAACTTTATATTCATTATCGAAGTATTTAGAATGAAATAAATTGTAAATTTGTTAGTAAGTTTTAGTCTGGTTTGAATTGTGTGCTCCGGCCTGATTGAAAGCAGAACCTGGGTTCTATTCTTGTGATTTGCCCAACAGGTCACTGAAGGCTTTGGAACAGAGCCAAGACATGTAGAGACGTGGGTTTCTACATCTTGGTGTTCCCACACCTGAAAATTACAAGTTAAAGGACCACTCCACAACTAGAAAGTGAAGTGCTTTTTGCGTGAGAAGTATCCGTTAGAGTATTTTCTCAGCACTACCCGCTCACCCAGTTTCCCCTTAATATATAGCATGCTCCTCCAGCTGTTTGAGAGTCTCACTCAATTACCTCTTCATTCCCTTTATATTCTACCAATAGCTGCTTCTCTGTTAAAGGGACACTATAGTCACCAAAACAACTTCAGCTTAATGAAGCAGTTTTGGTGTATAGATCATGTCCCTGAAGCCTCACTGCTCAATTCTCTGCCATTTACGCATTAAATCACAGTTTATTATCCCTAGTCACACCTCCCTGCATGTGACTTGCACAGCCTTTCTAAACACTTCCTGTAAAGAGTCATCTAACATTTATCCTTTCTTTATTGCAAGTTCTGTTTAATTAAAATTTTATCCCCTGCTATATTAATAGCTTGCTAGACCCTGCAAGAGCCTCCTATATGCGATTAAAGTTCTATTTATAGAGCTAGAGATACAATTGTTTAAGGTAAATTACATCTGATTGAAAGTGAAACCAGTTGTTTTTTTATGCGGGCTGTGTCAATCATAGCCAGGGTAGGTGTGGTAAGGGCTGCATAAACAGAAACAAAGTGATTTAACTCCTAGATTGCAGGGAATTTAGCAGTAAAACCTGAGAGGCATGATCTATACACAAAAACTGCTTAATTAAGCTAAAGTTGTTTAGGTGACTATACTGTTCCTTTAACTCTTTTAGCTATCCATTACAAATTCCCCCTGCTACCTTTTGTCTCAAATCCCCACTGTATCCTTTAAATTGTAAGCTCAAGGGAAATCTAGCTAAGCACTTTGTATAAACACTGAGGCCTAATAGAAAGCAGTTGTTGCTTCACCTAAGCTAGATCTCAGCTTACAGGCAGGTCCCTCTCTACCTCTTGTATTTGTCTGTGTATATTGTATGTTTTCCACTAAGTGTACAGCGCTGCTGAATCTGTTGTATAAATAACAGAAATAAATAAAAAAAATATCCTAGAACAATGACCATTTATAAAAGTGCAAATTTCTGATCACAATCCTGCAGTTTTATTTAAAAAAAATAGGAGGTTACATTCGAGCTCCATCTAATTTAAAAAGGATGAACCAAATCAAACCCATTTCTTCAAATGGACACTATAGGCACCCAGACCACTTCTGCTCATTTAATTGGTCTGGGTGCACTGTCCCAGATCACTTAACCCTGAGCAGGTAATTATTGCAGTTTAATAAGCTGCTAGGGTTAACTCCATCTCTATTGACGTTCTACCAGACAGGGCTGGTTAGGAGACTTTTGGATGTTAGGAGACTGATGCTGGACATCCTCATGCTATGCATCGGAATGTCCCGCATCACCCAAAAACCCACAGGAAAGCATTAAATATTGATGCTTTCCTATTAGGAAATCTTAATGTGAGCACGGACATTGCCATGCATGCCCATTAGGACTCCCCCTAGGGGAGAAGCCAGCAACGAGGAGCATAGGTGTTGGAACAAGGTAAGTGACAGAATGGTTTTTAACCCCTTCTGCAGCATGGGAGGGGGGTCTTGGCGGAGGGGGAAGCTGCAGTGCCAGGAAAATGAGTTTGTTTTCCTGGCACTATATAGTGTTCCTTTAAATGTGGGACTAAGGAACGTTTGTTGAGGTTTTGGAAGGGGTTACATTTAGTATTGGGGATAAAAGGATGTTGAAAGAGTTTTTTTTGCAATGTAAGATTATAACTGACATTAATTATTAAATAGCTGCATGATCAATCACTTAGAGCTGTAATATGAAATACAGTATCACTCAATGCTGTCCCTACTCCTACTGCGAGGCATTACCGGTGTGAGAGGCTGTTAGTGGGCAGATGGGAAGGAATACAGTCCACTTCCTGTCCAGCCTCACACACAGACACTAGAGGAGCTGGGACAGCACTGAGCTTTATACCCTCTAACTCCTCTTTAGTCTAGTTTGCTTCCTATGTTTGATAGAGCAGTAGGAAGACACTGGCCAAGGCTCCTGGTACTTCTCTCTCCTCACCAGTCAACAGAAGCCCAAACAAGGCACATCATAAGTGCTATACATAAGGGCCCCTACAGTAGAGGCACCTGCTCTACCGAATGGGAACCTTGGCCCTACCTATCATGCATGGTTACAAGATCTGTCCTTCGTACCCGACAGCCAGCACAGAGTAAGCATACAGATAAGAGATGAAATCAAGCAAGGTTTGTATTTCTCCTCTTCATTTGTTAGGCCAGGGATCTGCAACTTTCGGCACTCCAGATGTTGCGGACTACATCCCCCATAATGCTAGCAAAGCATCATGTTAGGTGTAGTCCAAAACATCTGGAGTGCCGAAGGTTGCCTATGCCGGTGCTAGGCTTTCCCTGGATAGGCTTTGTCTGAACTAGATTAACAATGTATAAAAAAATAATAATTTACAATTAAAAGAAAAATTAAGCAGCTCATTAAAGAGGTTAAACAAGGTATTGTTTATTTTCAGTTTATTCAATGCAGTAAATTCCAGATAAGGCATGGTCACTTTAAAAGGTTTAAAGTTGCAGTTTCCCTTATCTGATTTTCTTGCTATAATTATGCATTCAAACTGTAATAACTCCTTTCCAAAACCGATTACATATAAAACATAACTGTACTAAAATGGAAGTCCGACACATTGGTTGGAGTTTAACTTCTATAGCACTAACAGGTGTACTAAAGACTTGGCAGGTTGCACTGCTGTGGAACAAAACGGTATGGAATTCTAGTAGTTATGCATTGTGTGTGTTTATTACATACATGTACGGGGGAGCTTAGTCAAGGCCAAAACAGGTGCTCTTCTGTGGCAGATTGTTAAATAGAAACCAATCTCCATGGAAACCAACAGAATGTCTCAACCTTTAGCACTTTGCTTCCAAAATAGCATCAGTTGTTCAATGATAAATCTCAATAGCCAAACCAGTTACAGGTTCCATTACAGTAGAGGGAGCTACAGTAGGTATACATTGTATATTATATAACTAACAGGTGCACTTTGCAATTTACATGTTACATTACAATGCAAGCTTCAGCAGGTATACATAAACAGTTTCTAGTATAAATAGGCTGTAAAACTTAACGTCAGAAAAAAGTCTTACCACTTTCTCCTGATTTCTTGTCCTTGACACTTGTTGCCCCAGAACTTTGTCTCTAAAAATTAAAATATGAATAACAGAAATAATTAGCATTTTTAATGTCCATCTTACCATAGACTTTTTTTTACGAAAGCAAGAAAATCAAGAGTGTTTACAAATTTATACATTACATATACATTTTCCATGAAGTTGTAGTAAAAGCTTTAAAAAAAATTTTTTTTTAAATAAAAAACAAAAAAACAAAAGTCACACATCACTATACAGAAACAACATTATGTTTAACACTCGCGTTTTTCAAAAACTCATGTTACAGACACACTCACTCTGGGTGCAGTTTTCCTAGTTCTTAAATCAAAGAATTTTCTCCCATTATCTCTGATTAAAAAACATCACATCTATGTGACAGGACCACATAACAGCACTGAACAGTCCTGCCTGGCAAGTCTCTGCTGTTCCAACACTGATGCTACGTTCTGCCAATGAGGGGGATGGAGAGACACACTGGTGTAGAGACACAATGAGAGATGCATAAGTTGTTGACAATGGTGAGACAAATGAGATTCTCAGTATTTCTTCACCAATCAAGGAACAGAATGGTAAAACGAAAACAAATTTTCAATATGTTTTAATGAGGCTTTGCAAATTAAAAACTAAACAACACTGATTTTCAAAAAGGTACACTATAGGTACACCAGAACACTTCATCTCATTTAAGTGGTTTAAGTGCAGTGTCCCAGTCACATTTATTCTATCAAAACTGCTGCATTAAGCTAAAGTGGTTTTGGTGCTTAGTGTCCCTTTTAACATTTCAAGCCAAAAAATGTTTTGGAGCAAGTCTACATAAAACCAGTTCTCTGGAAAAAAGTCAGGATTGGGGGAGGAATAAGAAAGTAAAAAAATTAAATAGATATATATATATATATATATATCTATATCTATATCTATATATCTATATAACACACAGACCCAAAACACAGTCGGGTCTAGAATAAAACAGGAATATAAGCCAGAGGTCAGGATAAACAATAAATAAGCCAAGAACCCGGTACCAGAGAAGCTGAATGTACAAGAATGCGTTATTGGGCCAATTAGAAGCACAAATGGCCAACAGTGAGTGGGACAGGTGAGTTAAACCCCTTAACGCCGTTACGGCGTTCTGTGCCGTCCCACATTAAATGGGCTTTAAAGCCGTTGCGGCGGCATAGAACGCCTTAACGGCTGAAGCCCCCAGGAGATCACGATCCTCTTCTGGAGGGCTGCCTGACAGCCCAAGCAGCCCTCCCCCGGCAAATGAGGCCCCTGGGGGCCATGTGATCATTCTCAAAGAGCAATCACATGGCCCCCTATAGTTGGCTGTGGATCTGCCAGCAGGGGGACTGTCTGAAATGTCAGACAGTCCCCCTGCTGGTGGGAAATGTAAAAAATAAAAAAAATAAACATGTTAAAATAAATTAAATGCATTTATATATATATATATATATATATATATATATATATACACACACACACACACACACACCTTATATATATGTAACGTCATACATAGTATATTTTAATGTTAATATAAGTATATATTAGTATTAAAATACACTTAGAATGACGTTACATATATTTAAGATGATAAATCTCAATAGCTTCCTCCGCAATATCGGTCTACAAGATACTGCTCTCTCCTGGTGCTCCTCCTACCTCTCTCAGCGCTCTTTCAGTGTTTCTTCCTCTGGCTCTGCTTCTTCTCCCCAACTCCTCTTTGTTGGTGTCCCCCAAAGTTCAGTCCTTGGTCCCCTACTGTTCTCCATCCATACTGCCTCCCTTGGTAAACTCATTAGCTCCTTTGGCTTCCAATATCATTTCTATGCAGATGACACGCAAATATACCTGTCCTCTCCTGATCTCTCCCCGTCCCTCTTGACTAGTGTCTCTGACTGCCTCTCTGCTGTTTCTAACTGCTTAAACTAAACTTGACCAAAACTGAAATTCTGGTCTTTCCTCCCTCAAGTGTTGTTACTCCTGTGTCTGTCTCCCTCCAAGTCAACGCAGGCTCGCTGCCTAGGTGTTCTCTTTGACTCCAACCTCTCCTTCAAGCATCATGTAAGGAAACCAAGTATATTTAAACCTCATTCAGTAGTTTCCTCCCGAACCGCCAGAGCCTTAGTGATTATAGCCCTCCGTTCGGTAGATAGGGTAGATGAATCCTATAGTAATTCCAATAGCTTCACCAGATAATTCCCTTAGTGAAACACACGAATCCCCAAACATCAGCCGAAGTCAAGAAGAACGGTACAAAATGAACTGTCCTTTAATGGGTGCACACAGCTTTTATGCAGCTCTCAGGGAGGGACAAACAATAACCAATCACAGGCAGCAAAACGTTAATACACACCCACAATTCCCTCCCCTAGCCCAGGAGATAATTTAGTCTGATAAAATAGTAACTTAATTATCTCCGCGCTGAAAAATCACTTTTTTCCCCAACATTCAGAACACTCCTTTATACTTGGGTCGTCCCCATAAATTATATGTCCCCTGATAGCCCTGATCTGGGTGACCAACATATCGGTTCAGGGGTTTGCAAAATCTGTGGAAGTCTCTTGTGACCGGCTCACCCTGGGCTGCATGCCCAAAAGAGTTCCATGAATTTGGTGGGTTTTGCCAGTCACTTTCGAAAAAGCATAAAAACTAATAAAAATACCAAGTGGATCCCTCTGGCTCCTAGCAGCGTTCGTGCCCCTCAGTTGAATGCACCAAAGTACCAAATAGCGCTCTTCTAGCTATTCGGTAAATAGAGTTCCAGCGTTAGTCTGTTTGGGACCGGTGTTCGGGAAGTCGAGTGTCCGTTTTCAGTTCCATGCACTCGACGACCAGGTCCCGCTGCCTTTGTTCACATGAACAAAGATGGCCGCGGTTTTCTCTGCCACGTGGCGTTCGACTAACGAACGCTGGCCGCACAGACAGAGGTAGCAATTTCACCCAAACTTTGATTTTTAATGAGCCAGAGGGGTGGTCTTTGTTCGGTAGTTCCATCTACCGAATGCCATAGGCAGAAATGGAGATAAAAAGGGAATGCAAACAGTAAATAACATAGGGAATTGGGGGTTTCTTCACACCTCATGTTCAATCTATCGCCAAATCCTGTCATTTCCATCTCAAAAACATTGCGCGCATCCGCCCCTACTTAACGCCACATGCGACTAAGGTGTTGGTCCATTCCACTGTCCTTTCTCGCCTTGACTACTGTAATCTGCTTCTCAGTGGTCTTATGTGCTCCCAACTTGCGCCGTTACAGACCATAATGAATGCGTCGGCAAGGCTCATCTTCCTGTCCGCCCGCACCTCCCATGCCTCACCCTTCTGTCAATCCCTACATTGGCTTCCTATAAAATATAGAGCTCAATTTAAAATTCTGGTTCTTGCTTTCAAATCTCTACATAATGCTGCTCCCACCTATCTATCCTCCCTTATACACAGGTATGTCCCGTCTAGGCCCTTACGATCTGCTGAAGACTTACGTCTATCTTCTGTCCGTACTCCCACCTCTGATGCTCGCCTTCAAGATTTCTCGAGGGCTGCACCGTTCCTGTGGAACTCGCTTCCCTCCTCCGTTAGATGCTCACCCAGTCTCCACTCCTTCAAAAAATCGTTAAAAACCCACTTCTTCATAAAAGCGTATCAATTAAACTGTTAATAGCTCCTGACTGATTCCTCTTCTGCAACTGTCACTAGTCTAATACTATCCTTACCTTTTTGTGTCATTTTACCCCACTCCCTCTAGCATGTAAGCTCATTGGGCAAGGCCCTCAACCCCTCTGTTCCTGTGTGTCCAACTTGTCTGGTTACAACTACATGTCTGTTCGTCCACCCATTGTAAAGCGCTGCGGAATTTGATGGCGCTCTATAAATATCATATAATAATAATCTATATATATATATTTTATATTTATATATACACGTATAATTAAAATAGTAAATGAATCAAATCAAATAATTTTAATTTTTTTTTTAAATAAATTATATATACACACGTAAATTCATTCTAACTGTATTTTGTTAATATATATATATATATATATATATATATATATAAATGTGTAACAAAATACACTTAGAATGACATTTTATATCTATCTATCTATATCATAGGCGTGCGCACGGGTGTGCCGGGTGTGCCTGGGCAATCACCCTAATCCCGCGGCACGCCTATGTGTATTGAGACCGGCAATCCGAGCGCCGGCTCTGCTCTCAGCCTCCCTCCCCACCGACCCACAGGCAGGGAGGGAGGCAGGAGAGGACCCGGCGGAGCTATTGCCGGCAGCTCCGCCGGGTTCCTCTCGCGAGATATGAGCGTTGCCACGTCAACGCTCAAATCTCGCGAGAGTGAACTCTAGCCCCACAGAGGGCTAGAGTTCACTCTCCACTGGACCACCAGGGAAAGCAGCAGCACGATCCCCCCTCCCTACAAAAGGTAAGAAGGGAGGGGGGAATAGCAATTAATGTACCCCCACCTCCTCCCCCACAATCACCCACCCACATACAGCACACATACATACAACACCCATACAGCACGCACACATACAGCACGCACACATACAACACCCACAGACATACACAGCACCCACACACATTCAGCACCCACACACATTCAGCACCCTCACACATTCAGCACCCTCACACACAGCACCCTCACACACAGCACCCTCACACACAGCACCCTCACAAACAGCACCCTCACAAACAGCACCCTCACAAACAGCACCCTCACAAACAGCACCCTCACAAACACACAGCACCCTCACAAACACACAAACATCACCCTCACACACAAACATCACCCTCACACACACACACAGCACCCTCACAAACACACAAACATCACCCTCACAAACGCACAGCACACTAACAGTACCCTCACAAACACAAACAGGACCCTAACACACACAGCACACTACCAGTACCCTCACACACAAACAGCACCCTCACACACAGTACATTAACAGCATCCTCACAAGCACGCACACACAAACACCCTCACCCACATAGCACACTACCAGCACCGTC